GTCTCTCTCTCTCTCTCTCTCTCTCTCTCTCTCTCTGTCTCTCTCTTTATGATTGCTAGTTTATCATACTTATCATTCCTCCACTTAAAATATACCAGCAATTTAAAAAAAAATGTCAAAGCGAAAAGACTAATCAAGGCCGAACTAAGGTGAAATATTCTGTAGTTTTGCCTTGGTAAGTTCAGGAAAATTTGAAATACGATAGCCAGTTCAGTAGTATGTGTAATACACATAATATTATTATTATTTCTGAATCGGCTATCGTATTTCAAATTTTCCGACTATAAACTACAAAAATAGCCCTCCTCATACTATTTACAAAATGATTTAAACATAAAGTAACTGCACTGTAATTGTACATCTGAACGGAAAAGGTGAAGGAGATGAAGAGGGCAAATGTATTTCATCAGAAATAAAGGAATTCTACATCAACGGCTACAATTCCCTCCATTCCGCCCCCCCCCCACCCCCTTAATCTATCTGTGCGTGTGTGTGTGTGTGTGTGTGTGTGTGTGTGTGTGTGTGTGTGTATATGTAGGTGCGAGTGTGTGTTTGTGTGTATGTATGTGTGAGTGTGTGTGAGTGTGTGTGTATGTCGTGTACATATTATGTATGTATGTCTGTATGCCTGCCTGTCTGTCTGTCTGTCTGTCTGTCTGTCTGTCTGTCTGTCTGTCTGTCTGTCTGAGTGTGCGTATACATGTGTATGTACGTGTGTGTATGTCGTGTATATGTGTTTGTATTTGTGTGTGTGTGTGAGAGAGAGAGAGAGAGAGAGAGAGAGAGAGAGAGAAAGAGAGAGAGAAAGAGAGAGAGAGAAGGGTGAAGAAAGGCGCAACTCTCTCAATGCGTGAGCGTGAATCGTCACGGTGAACCGAACCATAGAACAATACACTATACAGGTGTCTGATAGTGAGATCCCCGACAGGTGTACATATTTTGTTCTGTTCCGTCGGTATCTCTTTGATCTGAACACCGATTCGGTACAGTTCGACATAATTAAATGACCTCGTTTTTTTCCCGTCGTGCATATTGGGAATGGTATAGAACGCAGTAACGATAACGTTTCCTGTGCGTGGGCGTTATTTAAATTTCTATCGCATGCATATTTTAAAATGCGGGTGGTTGTAGGGTGCCAATGTCAGGTTCTTCATTCTGTTAATTTCCTCTGATATTTCTGCTTGTCTGTCTGTCATACACACAAACATACTCTTCCCCTACATATAGCTGTTGTTTTGTGTGAGAGATAGAGTTTGTGTGTGTCTGAGAGAGAGAGAGAGAGAGAGAGAGAGAGAGAGAGAGAGAGAGAGAGAGAAAATAAATGTGTGTGTGTGTGTGAGAGAGAGAGAGAGAGAGAGAGAGAGACAGACAGACAGACAGACAGACAGACAGA